ATATATATTTCTTTTCTTAAATTTTTTAATAGCATTAATACTTTTAATTAATTTAATTTAATATTTTATATATCGTTATATCACATGCATTAAAATGCAATGTGGAATTATGCAAATATCAGACTTCATTTTTTGCGAATGTTATAATCGACAATTATTTTAATTGTAATGATCACACTCAATTATCAATCACAGTAATATACGATCAATATGACGCCAAGAAAAAAACAGCTCCTACTTGATAACGATAATAGTCAATGTTTAAAACTACATTAAAAGCCGAGTATTTTTTAACTTATTGTTTAAATATTTTTTACAATCGATTTTGTTTGCATGAATTATTGGATGACAGATTTGAAAAATGATTATATCGAGACGTAATACTTGAATTGAACATAACACCATTATAAAAGTCATTCATCATTAAATGAACATTTGTACAAGCGAGTCAATGATATCCAATCCCAGACAGCACAAGGATGTCCTTAGGACGTCCAAAGGGCATCCAGGACATACATGTAGGATTCCTACAGACATCCAGGGGTTATCCAATGGACATTTATAGGACATTAATACTTATTACAATACTTAAAATTTCTAAATTATATTAAATAGCCTACATAACCGAAAGTAATCATGTATGCATATTAAATTTTCATAAAATATATTTATAATAATATCTTAAAACATCCTACAAATATCCTGAACCATCCTGGACATATTCAGGATGATCCTGAGGACGTTTTGTGCTGTCTGGGATACGACACAAGGATACTTCATAATATCATAATAAGATTTACATATCAGACACGTGAGATTTTCTTGCTTGAATCATACAATTAATTACGCAAAAGAAAAGATAGGTTTTTAGAATATTGAAGAGAAAACTGAAATTGTTGAATACACACACGTTACTACTGCATGTAATCGTTGATAGAGAAAAAAAAACTACCCACACATACAGAATAGATGTACTGTACGAGTAATTATATACGATGATAAGTATCTCACATGTTTTATTCCACAAAAAAAAACTTATGACAAAGTTCATATGCTTGCATGTGAAATTCGGATTGTAGACGGGTCACGTGACTCGGGTTTCCCCTCCCCTATCGTATTATCACCTGTCGGAATGCAGTTCGAAATTTACCTGCCAAGTAAGATTATCGAAGCAGCTCCTTGTTCGTGATCCGTGCTCCTGCGATTTCACGTAACGGCAATCACGCGACAAACAAACCGTCGACTATAAATACACTACAATTTGATAAGAATCGTATTTCTTGCGAACGCCGGCAACAACGAGACGAAAGATGCCTCGCGCAAAGAACGCGACGATCGGCTACGATCGGTGGTGGTTGGTGGTATTTCGCTGTTGCTTCTCTTTTTCATATTTTTCATTGGCGAAAATTCACAGGACGAATAATACGTAATAAGCACGAAAGAACGAAAGTAGAGTAGTATGGTAGTAATAAGAACAGTTGCGCCACGAACTGCAACGCTCAGAAGGGATTGACGCGCGAAATTCAAATGCATCTGGAATGCAAGAACAGCTATGATTCGCGACTTAATTTCCGCTTATGTAAAAAAGAATAAGATTGTTAAATCTCTATTAAAATTATTAAAAAACCGTCTCGTTATTATTTATTAATTATGTTATAGACAAATCGCTGAAAAATTGTAATATATTTTTGTCATTTAATATTTATGTTAAACTCAGCCACATTACAATGGGCATTTGAGACACCTTGGCATTCTCTGTGCCTTTGTCTCGGCTTCCTTTGATTGCCTTTTCAACGCTAAAAGAGGATAAGTAACATAATTTACCTTTGCGATATCGAGAAATTCTCCTTTATAATCGTGTCTCGCAATCAGCTGCGAGGTTTGAGATTGAAATACTTCTACTTACTTATCGTCTTCGTCGAGCCGATGTTGATTGGTTCGAATTTTAAACTCTGCATTTCGCGCAATGCCATTGCTTGAAAGGTGAGTGCAGCAATACGTGTGAATAATTCGGACACTCCGTTGCCCGTTCTCGACGAGACCGCCCAATATTCTGCTCGCATCCTTTTCGCAGTTTCCGACGCCCGTTTTTCAATTATATCGTACACCTGATGAGACTGACATTTCCCATAATGGTAATAGTAATTTAGAAAAAATGGATGTTATTGTCAATACCACAGACTTCTAATATATTATATTATATTATATTATATACTTACCAATAAATCCTTCTTAGTGCCGACTAAAAAAATGTGATAAGGACCAACGTTGCTGCGACTCGCTTCGTTTAACCATTGCTGGCAATGCCCTAGTGACATCAAGTTACTCACATCGAAAACAACCATGATTACTGTGAAACAAAATATACATAAGTAATGTCAAATATGTAGATGAATAAAAAAATGATAGAAAGGATATTTTTATATTAACCATTAGCGCCACGATAATAAGACGCTGCTATACACTTGAATCTTTCCTGTCCGGCGGTATCCCATCTGCAAATATTATTTTAAATTATTATCATACATATATATTCATATAAACATTTGTAAATATTTTTAGATTAAGTTTCATTATATACATTTGCAAATGAAAAGGTAAGCCGAGGATATCGAATCTCTCCACTTCGAAGTCCACGCCGATGGTAGCCTTGTAATTATTATCGAAGAGTTTGTGACAAAAACTGTACAAAATAACAATAATTTGCTTTACCATACAAATTTATACGATAAGGAATGAGCTATTTACTCCAAAATGACAAGCATATTTTTTTTAAAGTAAGCCTTGGTTACGTCAAGAGATTTTTTTTCGTCAAGTCATTACACTCATTACCGATTTACCAACGATGTTTTTCCAACAGCAACGTCGCCGATAACGATTACTTTAGAGATTCTGAGAGTCAAATTCTTGCTTTCGCAAGTTCGTCTGATTAAACTGCCAAAATCGCTCTCGGTGTACGGGGTCATCTCCGACGAGAAAGGTGGCGGCCAATAAGTTATCTATTCGGAAAAGATTAGAAAAGAAAAAGGCATTAATTTGTTTTTAAACAAACGATCAATTTCGATAAACATTTTGTTTATACCTGCCTCTCATCGTGGGCTTTTTCTTTCATCATTTTGTAAACCGCGGAGCGCGTTTCCAACATCGCACCGTCCGAATCGAATAATTAAAGCATCTTGAAAAACAAAATACATCACTTTTATTTTTATATGTATTATACGTAACTATTATATATTATTCTACAATATATGTATATTCTACGATTACATATGTTAAGATTAATTTTTTATACTCCGCACTGAATTATCTGAAACTTTTCGCGAGACTGACAACTCTATTTTGTAGATTATGTGAAGACAACATAAGAGTAATTCCGCGTGAGTCAAAACGACAAAACATTGGTTGCTGTGGCAGGTGTTCGATTGTAACATATGTGGGGGACTTATATACGGGTGATTGTCGGCGAACATGATAGACGTAATATTTGGAAACTATTTTCATGACTATTTTATTAAATAATACTTACTTAATTATTAAATAATCTTTCCCTTTCTTTTCCTCTCCTGCTCTTGCAAATATTTTTTTCAATTTTCACTTTTATTTAAAATTCCCTCTTTTTTCTAAGCTATTCAATTTATTAATTTAACAATTAATGATTGCGCATAAGCGAAAAATTCAATGGCTGTTCTTTAACAGAAAAATGACGCATTCACAACTCCACCGGGAAAATAATTCTGATCGATAATCGATAATCCGACTCTTGCAATATCTCCATTTTGAAAATTCTGTTTCGTCAGTCAACAATTAGCGTAGTAGTCGGATTGGCCGATACAGACGCTTCCGTTTCACGTTGACGTTCTCTTTCACGTTCTTTTTAGTAAAATGGCTCCCAAACCGAAGCCTACGGATAAAGCAGGTAGAGTTGATAACAATTTATAACATTCGCTTTTTTTCCTCTTTAGAATGAATACACTTTAGATTAAATAATGCTTGTTAATTAATGTAAATCCGTAACAATTTTACGTTATTCGAAATCGATCGTGTCGAGAACGCATCCCATGACACCCATGTGGTTGATCTTCTTTCGAATATATATTATCTTTATTCTTGTGTTTACAATAAAAATATTTGTAGAGAGATGTTTCTTGAAAATTTACATGTCTCTTTTCTATGAATTACTTGCAATACGAGCTTTTGCAATAGCGTAATTTGATATAATATTTATGTCTGTGTATCATAACCTAAAATAGAATAAGAAAACGGAAAGAGCATTGAGATGTTTCATCTCTTCATATTTTTAAGAGTAATGTGGACATTAGATATATATTCAATTCTTGTCTCTTCAATATGCTTTCTCAGTTATAAATAATTATTTTAATTATTCTTATAAATGATAGGTAAGCCTGCGGAGAAGAAGGCAGAGAAGAAGACGGAGAAGAAGCCAGCTGCCGCGGCTTCTACTTCTAAAGTGACAAAGCCTGCAGCCAAACCTGCAGCGGCAAAGAAACCGGCGGCTGCCAAATCAGCGAGCGCTGCCAAACCTGCCGCAAGCAAGCCTGCGAGTAAACCTGTCCTCAAGCTTGCCAGTAAACCGTTGATCAGCAAACCCAAGAAAAATGTACAGGCTGCTAAAAAGACCCCGAAGGGTGGAAAATCAGCAGCTCCTTTGCAGAGAGCTCTCAAGGCGCAGAAAAAGGTTATCTTTAAAATAGATTTTCCAAAAAAATCATTAATTTTTTTAATCTCTCTTTGTCTCAAGTAATATTACTCGTGTATATGATGAATTGTAAGTGTGGGAATCTCTTTGAATTTCTGTGAAAATATCTTTTAACACAATACTGAAGAATTAAAGAGTATAAGATATGTATGCAATTACATATATTACATAATATTGACATTGGCAATTGTATTTGTGTTTCACATAGATCTTGAAGGGAGTACATGGATCCCGGGTACGGAAGATCAGGACGTCTGTTCATTTCCACAGGCCCAAGACCTTCAGACCGCCAAGGAATCCCAAATATCCACGTAAATCCGTGCCAAACAGAAATCGGTGAGAAGAGAGCTCGAACGCTCGAATTTTTTAAAAATATCTATAAAAATCTAGATTTATGATTTTTTTCTGAAAATCTATTGTTATATCCTTGAAACTTCTGTATTTTAGCATGGATGCTTTCAATATAATAAAATTCCCACTTACAACGGAAGCGGCGATGAAGAAGATCGAAGACAACAACACTCTGGTCTTCATCGTGCACACGAGCGCCAATAAATATCACATCAAGGCGTCGATCAAGAAACTCTACGATGTCGATGTGGCGAAGGTGAACACTTTGATGAGGCCAGATGGCAAGAAGAAGGCGTATGTGCGTTTAACGCGCGACTACGACGCGCTTGACGTCGCCAACAAGATTGGCATCATATAATTTCTATCTCTCTTGTTAAGAAATAAAATAAAATCTGTACTGATAATAAAAAATATCAATATGGACATTAATTTGTACATGTAACATTATTTCGCAATCCTTGCTCAGTTCTGTTCTTTTATATAATAATAGAATAAAAAAGATATCTATCCGAATAAGTCAAAGTATTTATTTAAAAAATTTTTTTTGTTTGCGTTTATAGAACCACGTGTCACCTCAAGATGGTAAAGTATATCGACTGTACTCACGAAAATATTGCCATCTATAGTGCAACATTAACTACACTTGGAACGTTCATCCAGAACGAGTGTATGTATGTAAATGTCAATAATGTAAAAAGTCGAAGTTATAGACGTTTAAAATAGCGACAATGAATTTTGTACTATATGAAACAAAACAATTTGCGGCATTATTGTTAAAATTCGAATGCATGCTAAAATAGTAGACATGTATGAAAAAATATATATGTATATAATGTGTGTGTAAGGTAAGTAAATAGTATCATATGTCACATTTTCTATATTTTAATGTAATAAGAAAAAGTCATAAAAGTTCTATAGTTTGTTTCCAATAATTGTCGCAGATTGTCCGAATTGCATCATTCACTAATTAAAAATGACAGAGGCACCGGCGTGGAACTCCAAGAAAGATGAGAGCATCTACAAGGCTGCAGGTGCCATGCACCTACGAAAGTATGGGGAGTTCTTTGAAAACCTGATGGAAAAATCCTGGAGTGGCGATTCTATGCTGGAGTATATTATAGAAGGTCCTTTGCGTCTGGTTTACAAGGCGAACGAGAACATTAGCATCCTCTCCCTAGTGGAGATGGAAAACAAGGCACTGTCCAAGCTGCTGGCAGCTGTGGCAGGAACGTGCAGAGAAATCAAGCTGCTGAAGGTGGAAGCTGCTGGTTTCTATGCAAAACTCTTTACACATGGAGAGAGATGCGTGGATGATGATCTCATTAGTGTGACTAAATTGCTGTCCGATCTGCAGGATCTGTCCATATTTGCCAATCGGATGTCAACTGTGGTGCACTTGACTACGCAACAGTTAGCAAGTCTGTCTGGCGCCGTTCACGAGATCTATTTACCCACCCTGATAGAAGGCTTCATAGATCTATTTGTGATCTTTATGACTCTCGATGAGATTATCGATGCTCAACCAACAATAGTGGATCAGTGGAAGAAATACAGAATGCATGTGCGTTCCATGATGCACAGTCCGTCGCAGTTCGGCGTCGCCGAGGCGAAGCTAGAGACATTTGATCAGCTGCTCAAGAATTTGCAGGAGAAGTTGTTACGAAAGAATATGTTTCTAAAGGCAATCGATCATGTGATGAATGTGAATAAAGGTATGGTTATGAGCGAACAAATTGTCAGCTATTTGAAAAACACGATTACAGATGTAGAGACTAAACCCAATGACCAAGCTGCGTTAAACAAAAACTGGATAAGAGCCAACATAGGCATTGCAGTGGTGATAAAGCTATTCGGCGCTTGTGACAAGAGATTGATCAAGAGAGTGCTGGAGGCAAACAAAAGATTCTATGCAGTCACATTGATAGGAAACGTGATTTGGGTGCCTAGCAGATTCCTCAGCAACATTGTGCCGAAAGAAACTGGCACTGCCGCGAGCCTGCAAATAGGCGAAAAGATTCTACAGATGAGAACGCAAAGATTGCCGACTGGAGTGAACAATTTGATACACCGAGCAATGACCTGGTGCGTAGAGATGCAGAGTATCCTGACAAGGACAAATCTTCAGGTGTCGGATATCGGGCAGAAACGTACGCTGCTGACGGATTTGCTAGCTCTCTTGTCCCAAATGCGAGAGACAGTCGCGTTTATAACGAATCTTCACGCTTTGCTGTCGAAACCCATGAGTCGCAACACGGTGCAACTGATCTGCAGAATCGTGGAATTGCAAAGGTCCTTGCAGACAACATTCTATGCGCTCGGGCCGATCGTGGTGCAATCGCAGGCGCAAGTGCTGCAATATTTAGCTTATTACATACTAGCAATGCTGGAGACGGCGCGTAAGGGTCTCGTTCAGAAGGATAAAGGCTATAGTAGAGAACGACTGGACGCGCTATCACTAATAGGGCTCGGTATGCGGCTGATAAGCGGTCCGGCAAGCGCGGACCGGCGGCTGTTGGTGCGCTGCACGTTGGCATGTGCCAGCCAGCTGACCGACACCTTCCGCGAGGAGGATGTGGTGAAGTTGCGATTCTTGCTGGACAGTTACGATGCCGTAGCCGAGCTGCACGAGCTAGTCGATGATCTTGGCGACTACTCATTATTGTTGCATCATCAAAATATGTTACCCGCTTACCTCTCCTCTGTCGTCGACAACAACAACGGGGTCTGCCATATCGCTCACCTGTTCGCCGCCTTCAATAGCGCCGTGGGCGAGCAGGAATCGATTGAGTTGAGGGAAAAACATATCGCGGAGCTCAGGGAGAGCCTGGTGAAAAACGTGCTGAAGCCAGCCTGCCATGAAATTGAGACCAGTCTACGACTGCATGTGCACGCCCATCTTAAATTAGACTCCGCAAATCCCTTCAACATCGGCGCCAAGGACAGCGGCAGAGTGGTGCGCGTCCCGCCGCTGCCTTTGGCCGAAAACATGATCTGCGCCAAAAGGTTCGTCGAGCATTATCTGGATGATATGTTCTACAATCTGACAACAGTGGCTCTGCATGATTGGAGAACCTACCGGATGATGCACACGTTAGCCAGCTATAAGATGGGTCTGGACACGGTACAAGATCATCTGCCGACGCAGACCCTCGAGCAGGGCCTGGACGCTCTGGAGATCATGCGTAACATACACGTGTTTGTTTCCAGGTAGACAGAATTATTAATTATTAATTAATATCTAAAAATTAATTGCTGATAGATTAATTGTCGTTTTGCACAGGTATCTGTACAACTTGAACACGCAGACGTTCGTAGAGCACAGCAGTGGTAACAAGCATCTCAACACTATTGGCATCCGACACATCGCCAATTCGATTCGCACCCACGGTACTGGTATCATGAGTACCACAGTGAACTTTGTCTATCAATTCCTACGCGTTAAGCTGCATACATTCTCACAGTTCCTCTTCGACGAGCACATCAAGTCGCGGCTAATGCGTGACATCAGGTTTGTCCGAGCGCAACGGGAAGCGGGCGCCGTTCCATATACATATGAGAGAGCGGAGAAATTCCAGAAGGGCATCCGGAAACTGGGCATGACCGCGGACGGATTAAGCTATCTAGACCAGTTTCGCCAGTTGATCACACAGATCGGCAACGCGCTCGGCTACGTGCGGCTAATCCGTTCCGGCGGTCTCCATGCTAGCTCCAATGCGGTATCCTTTCTACCGGACATTGAGAAGACAGTGCCATTCGAAGCACTCTGTCGCGGACTGAATTACAGCGTCGAAACGCAGGCGGCGGCCAAACGGTTGGAAGACGACATTGCCGATCTCGTACGCAACTTCACCGAGGGTATCCAGTACTTCAAGCTACTGGTGGACGTGTTCACGTCAGCGTTTCGCGATGCCAAGTCTTATCATCTGCAGCAGTTCTACGCTATCGTACCGCCATTGACGCTTAGTTTCGTAGATAATTCCGTGTCGAATAAAGAAAAGATGTTTAAAAAGAACCAAACTGGCGCGGCCTTTACCGACGATGGCTTTGCCATGGGTATCGCCTACATCAACGCACTGCTCGATCAGAATGCAGAGTTGGACAGTCTGTATTGGTTCAAGACAGTGGAACAGCACATCGCCCAGGAAAAGCTTGCCGCCGAGGGCAAGGACGATCACGGCGACGAAAAACTCCAGCAAACCAGAGCACTTACTCTCCAACGTCTCGCTGAGAGAAATGCCGAATTCCAGTTATTGTACTATAGTCTTTCTGGTGCTAGAGTGTTTTTCAAACAGCCTGATACGTAATATGAGACAATTGATATTATTTTGATACATCAATATTGCATTCTATGTTCTTGGACCCGAGTTGATTTCTTGATCGTTAAGGGAGAAATAATAGGCATAAATCATAAACAATTATAAAGAGATAAATATGCATCTAAAACTATTTCTTAATTTTATTCCTAATTTTAAGTTTGAACAGAATTTGAAGTAAATATAATGCAGTCTAGCGTCTCTTCCAATTTTATATATATATAAAATCATAGAGCACATGTTATTGTAAATGACTTAGATTCTTTACAACCATTTTTATAAATATTTTCTACATTTACAATATCTTTACGATATCAGATTCTCGTTCAATAAATAATGGCTAGACTGAGCGACTAGGATTTATTATACCTAAAAAAGGTGCAATTTCTATTTGCAATAGCAAATAGAATCGAAAGAGTAAGTGAATGAAGGCATTTGTGAAATTTTTTAAGCTTTAAATTCAATCGAATTCATGAATTACTCGCAATAGTGTACGCTTGTTTGTAATTTATGCAAAAATATTATATTAAAACTGATACAAAATATGACTATTATTTAATAAATTGCCTACAGTAATATTTTTGAGAATGTAAGCCTTCATCCACTACTTTCAGTGAATCAATCGGTTCATCTGATCAGGTTTCTACTTTTCTGACAATTGAATTTTTCGAAGGAATTGTCTCAATCTGGATCTCGACATTGCGTTTCTAAGTTTTTAACAAACTATTCTGTCTACAATAACATCAACGCACTATTGGCGTATGCGATAAACAGACATATATACACAATATAATTAACTACTTTCGTAGCTGCATGTGCCAAAAAGCAATTGCATTGTGTACTATGCATACAATAAGAATCTGATCTCTTGTCTTAATTATCATTTAAAACGTCATTCAAAACGATAGTAATCGCTCTTAAATAAAATTAAATATTTTTCCAATATCAGCAATAATCTTTTAGAGATTATCGCTCAATAAATTTCTGTAAAATTTTTTCGTGCCAATTTTTAGACGACTATGCGCGATTAATACACAATAATACATATAACCGCAAGCAACATGTATCACAACAAAATATAAAATCTATTAACATAAAATTTGCGTCATAATATTGCAATAAAATATCACATTGAATTTATCAGAATTAAAACAGATACATCCTTATTAGAAAATGCATTAATATTAAGTAATATATATTATTCCTCTCTATATATATATACACATACAATATGTATATCTGCATATTTATCGGGAAATATGAATGTTTTGATAATTTTGTATGTATTGTTTGAAACTTTCTTCTTGATATTCATTCTTCTTATTGTTAGTAAGTTTTTGCTCACTGATAGGTTTTCGAATCGTCAATCTAACAATTCCATTATCTCTGTTCAAATAATGATCTCGTCAGCCGTGAACCAAAAACAAATCACTAATTAAATTATATCTTACATGGTACTCTAACATAATTTTCTCTCGTTTTGCAAATTACGACATAGATATGCTTGGTTTTGTGATATTTAAATTACACTTAAGCTGTGAACGCCATTAAGTTTGCTCTCTATCTTTATAATAAAGTAAGACAAGAGTATAGATATTCCCTGTAGAATTATAGGTACAGATGTTTTTTTTTAGGATTGAGGTTTGGATGACTCTTCTGGATCCAAAAGATCGTCACAAGAAGCTGTCGGCGGCAACAATTGCCTGCCGCCGCGTTTCTTACTGCGAGTGAATACTTTCGTAAGTTGTGCGAATTTACGTCGAGATACTGTAATATGTCCATTATTAATGAGAAAAAAATCGTACGATATAATTCTTAATTTTAATTATTTCTTAACTGATTACTTACGTTTGCCCATATTTTTTAGTCTTTCCTTAAATAGATCCTCATCATCGTGACCGGTCTGGCCGCCGCATTTTTCGAGCTTTGAATCTACAAAAAAAAAAAATTTTTTTTACAATTGTCATCTACTATCTACTGTCATTAATAGATATTCTAGATATATAATTCTCCTGAATATATTATCCATACATGTTTTGTAAATCTTTAATTCTTTACCATGTTCCAATGTAGATAGAAAATCTTCATTCCAACGAAGTTCTGCCATGAATTCTTCGTTTTGCAGGAACATAGCAATTCTCTCATCTTCCAACATAGAACTCTCTTGCGAGTACGTCGAATCAATACCATCATCCGACATTTGCTGGGGTAGTCTTAAAAAGGTATCCGGCAATGGTCCCAATAATGGTGGCTGCCATTTATGTATAGTTTTTAATGATTTGCTAGAGTCTTTCCTAGGTGACTTTGTGGTGCTTGGCAGTTCTTCCTTTTGCTCCAATTCACTTCTAATCTTTTCATTTTCATTGTCAGTGCTCATGGTAAGTAACTGGTCAATTGTAGTATCCACAGCTCCTTGATTGGATCTTAGCACAGCCTGGCAAATGATATAACGATATAGTACTTGAATTTAACATACTTGTGTTAATGATACAGCAATGTGATTATTATATCTACAAATTAAATATTTTCACCTCTATCACGTCGTCGTCCATTTGCGGGAACATGTTTTTAAAGTCGGCCATCGCCTGGTAAAATTCCAGCGTGGTCTGTTGCTGCTGCTCCGTGGCAGAGGCCATGGTGAAGTTTTTGACAGTGAAATTGACAGAGCTGTGTTGCGATATAATTGGAAAATAAATAGTTAGAAAAAATAAACCTCTACATATATATTAAAAACATAATAGTGAACGTACAAACACCTGCTGACGATCTTCAGGAAATGACAGTGTTATCCATGCCTGCGAACCGGTTTATGTTGTTACCGATCTGCTCTTCACTTAGTGTCAATCATGGTAATTAGCATAGTGTCATCTTTCTAAACGGTTAATTGGTCAAATATATGCATATATATGCAACGTATTCAAAATACGAGACCCGTTGCCAATTTATGCAATTCTATGTCATCTTACGTACTGTTATGTGTTATGTACTGAACTGTTGTCAACTACATCGAAATTGTGCTCATCATCTCACCATAGACAAAAAATGCATAGATGGAATATCAACTATCGATATGGGACGGGTTTAGAAATAGATGCAAACGAGATGCATTGGAATTCGACCTCATTCGGTTTCTTTCGAGAATAATTACATATCTGATTTATAATTATATATTTAATTTATATAATTTATGCATAATGTATTTTTATACATCTATGGTGCTCACATCATCTTCCGCTGGTTTTGCGGTGAGAGATCTCGTCTATATATCTCTACGTTTATGGAATAAATGGTGTTCTGTTGCGCATGTTGGCAGCGACCAATTGATTCTCTTGCTTGAAAATAACTATACAGGCGCGAGATTCAAATACACAATTAATTGTAGCTTTCTCCTTCTTTTTACGCGATATATTTATCTACACTTATTTTGATTTATACAATTTACTCATGTATATCAATACTTGTTGAAAAATATCACATATCTTCAATATTGTACGCGATAGTATTAAGAGAAAATTATATTAATATTACAAATATATTATATTATATACTCACCTGTCATTTACGATAAAAAGGCGCACACACACACACGGCACAATTTTTTATCCTACCATTTTTCTCTTTTCAAATGTGTGTGTGTGTGTGTGTGTGTGTGTGTGTGTGTGTGACACACAGGAATAAATACAATTGTGCTGCCGCGTTTCTTTCTCTATATGTGAAACGCGTCGCGCATGAATTGTGGTGTATGCGGTTGTGGCTTGTGGCCTGTGGTCGACAAGCCGAGATCGTCCGATATGCGCGCATACGTAATACGCGCGTAATTTATTATTATATTACACACATTATCGTCACTCGCATCGCGCGAGGTCTCGATTCGCGACGAAGACGCAATTATATCTTTCTGAGTGAAAATCAGATCGAAATCTGGTGTTCACGAAACGTGTGCGAGGTAGAATTCTCTCAACGCTTGCACGATGAATCAATGTAACAATTTAAACGATTTTGCGGACGATGCGAATAAAAAAGAAAAATAAGCAGAAGGAATATTCATACAAGAAAATCGGAGTTTCTCGTGCAATCGACCGCTTCTCGTCATAGGACGATATTTCGCGTAAATGTGCGGTGATTGACGATTGTTGAGTCAACGTTGGATTTGTTAGGTGGTTAGATTTTCGGAGAATTTCAGAATGTATCGTAAATTCAAGTACGAGGTGGAATACCTGACCGAAGAACACCTCACGGGGTTCGAGAGCTACAAAGTGAGCATTTAATTTAAAAGTTCAATAATTATCAATATCAAAATTATACACACACACACACACATATATTTTATATATTTATATGTATATAAATACACACGCACAACATACATAATTTATAATAAATATTTTATACAATAATATATAAAATCATATTTATTTGATTAATTACTTAATAATAATGTATGCGATGCTTGGTTGTGATACTTTTTGTGTTACTTATTTCAAATATTCTAATTTCAGTACAGCTCCTTGGATACAAGCCCCCTAAGTGTATATGTAATGCATCCCTTTTGGAACAAAGTAGTACAGGTATGATTTCTATATTTTAGCAACGGAATAATTGTTAACACAGTAAAGATTATACTCTTTTATTTATACAGAGAAAATATATATTTTCTAGTATTATATAATATAGGATAGTATTTTAATATAATATTTATTATAAATATTAATTGTGTCTTTTTTTATAGTATTGTCCAAAATGGGTTGCTCCAAATGTACTAACCTTCTCTGGATTCCTCTTTACCGTGTTGAATTTCATGTTATTTGCATATTATGACTACTACTTTTACGCATCCAGTGATGACAAGCCGGAATATCCTCCAATATCACAATGGATCTTTGCTGTAGCTGCTTTTAACATTTTTATGGCATATACGCTTGGTACGTGTATTTAGAATAGATACACAGTTTATATATTAACATGTAGTTACATTGATCATAATTATATTATAATCCATATATAGAATTTAAATTAATATAAGAGATTAGTAAATTATATA